TATTTGAAAGACTACAACAATATAATTTGAAAATTCAACTCGATAAGTCTGAATTTTTACAAAGAACAGTAGAATTTCTAGGACATGTGATAACGCCAAACGGTATAAAACCTAATCCGAACAAAATAAAGGCAATAAAGGAATTTTCAATTCCAAGAACTGTCAAAGAGATAAAATCTTTCTTAGGATTAGTAGGTTACTACCGAAAATTCATTAAGAATTTCACTAAATTAACGAAACCAATGACGGTATGCTTGAAAAAGGACAAGAAGATAATTCATGATGTGGAATTTATAAAAAGTTTTGAAACATGCAAGAATATCCTGGTAAATGATCCCGTATTACAACACCCCGATTTTAATCGACCTTTTCTTTTAACAACTGACGCATCAAATTATGCCATAGGAGCAGTGTTATATCAAGGCCCTGTCGGCTCTGACCTTCCTATCGCATATGCAAGTCGTACGTTGAACCCTGCAGAATGCAATTACTCAACCATAGAGAAGGAACTTTTAGCAATTGTTTGGGCAACCAAATACTTCCGACCGTATCTTTTCGGAAGAAAATTTACTATTTTATCGGACCACAAACCTCTACAGTGGTTATTCAACGTAAAGGAACCAACTTCTAAATTAGTAAGATGGCGACTTAAGTTATCCGAATTTGACTATGAAATTAAATATAAAAAAGGAACCCTTAACATGAACGCGGATGCTTTATCAAGACCACCTTTACAAATAAATACACTACAAACCTCATCATCATCAGATCCTGATGCGAAAGTAACAGCACAAACTGATGAAGAATTTCACAATAAATTAGGAGATATGTTAAGAGACACACCTTTATGTAATGATGAAATAATTAGAAAATATTTCACGGAATCAAAACCATATCTGCGCAAACCAACATCAAACCACACTGAATCAACAAAAACTGCATCTGAAAAAGAAAATGCACCAAAGATTAAAATAATTTCACAAGTAATTATTCCCCCAAAGAAGAAGAAAGAAATTCCAATAGAACAGGGAGAATGTTCAAAAATGTATAATAAAGAAGAAAAAACCCTTACAATAAAACCTAAACAAAGGACAAACTCGACAAACTCAGAAGATGAAGAAAAAATATCGACACCTTCGGAAGAACAAACTATACATACATCCTTGGAAAATCCAATTATAGGTGCTCCCTATACGAAGAAACATGTGAATCTCTTCCCTAATCAAGTGATATTTCGCTACTCAAATAATAATACAATTAGGAAAGAAATTATTAAGCCTTTTCCTAATAAAAAGAGAATCATATTCTTTCTACCAAACAATCCATTAAATGACCAAATAGTCAATTTAGTTAAAGAATATATGGCCCCTGACACATACTGTCTTCATTTTCTAAATAAGACACTAGAACCTATAATATTACGAGCCTTGCAGTCAGCATTTAATGCAAATTCATTTAAATTGTATATATCTAACTCGCTAGTCGAAGACGTAGCCGAAATTGATGAACAACAAGAGAAACTAAAATTGTATCATGAAACAAAGACATCCCATAGAGGAATAACTGAAAACGTAGCGGCACTAAAGAAAAGTTTTTATTGGCCGAACATCGAGAAAGATGTACAAACATACGTTAAAGCATGTGAGATATGCAATAAGACCAAATATGAACGACACCCGTACAAAATAATGTTCAAACCTATACCAATTGGTTCAAAACCATTTGAACATTTGTATGTTGACACGTACATAAGTAATAATCAAAAATTTTTAACGATTATAGACAGTTTTTCAAAATTTGGCCAAGCCCTTCCCGTTAATACTAAAACAGCTGTTGAAATAACATCACAACTCCTAAAATATTTTAGTGACCACGGAATCCCCCAGAAAATAACTTCAGATAATGGTACTGAGTTCAAAAACACTATTATAACTGACCTTTGTACACTACACAATATTGAATTTCATTACATAACACCTAGAAATCCCAACTCTAATAGCCAAATCGAGAGATTTCATTCAACTTTACGCGAAAGTTTAACAACTCTTAAACTTCAAAACCCAACAAAAAATGTTATCGATTTAATGGTAATTGCAATTTTAAATTACAACAATAGTACGCACAGTACAACTGAGTTTACTCCTTTTCAAATAATTAAGGGTGATTTAAATTATGCAATTCCAATTGAACAAACAGAAAATAAAATAACTACTGATTATATTAATAATCTAGCGGACTCATTAGCTACTCTTAATAGAGAAATTCAGAATAAATTAACATCAAAACAAACTAAAGTACTCGAAAAACGTAATGAGAATCGAGAAATTGAACCCGAATTGCAAAACCCAATTTATGTAAAGCAATTCAATAGAAACAAAATAAGTCCACGATACGATAAACAAACACAAAGACATTTTAGTAAACAAAATGTAAAGAGACAATATCCTATTTCAGGTGAAAGACAATGAACGTCCTAACGTCCCTTATGGTAATAGGAATTGCCCACGCCTATACGATGACCTCGTTGGAAAATCCAATTTTACCAATTTCCTTAGGTAATACTTATATGACCATACAACACAATACTGCGTTTTATCATATCAATACAACCATCATATTACAAGGAATACACAAATTAGAAACAACATTGAGTTCATTATATCAATTAACACAAATGTTGAATACAACAACATGGTCCATTCTGTTCCAAACAAACATTGAAACAAGTCAATTACAAGTAGACTTAATGAAACAAACGGTTAAGACTATTGGTAATAAAAGAAGCAAAAGAGGACTTCTCAATTTTATGGGAACAGCTCAGAAATGGCTCTATGGTACTTTAGATTCAGAAGATGGTGCTAGATACGATTCATACATTCAAACCTTAAATGAAAATCAGGGTACTATCAATAAAAATCTAGAAAAACAAGCACAAGTACTTAAGAAAGTCACAAAAACATTCCATGACCAATTCCTAAATGTTGAAGCTAATCAAAAGCTCTTAGCAGAGAAAATTGATAATATTACTAATGAAAATCACAATTTTCACACCATGTTAAACTTCAATTTGATATTGAACAACATAAACATGCAAAGTAATAAGATACAAAATTTAATAGATCATATTCAACTTGCTATTAATTTTGCACAGCTGGGAGTTATGCATTATACGATCCTTCAACATAATGAACTGAATCAAATACTGCATAATATACCTAAACAACAGCAGATTCCATTTGACAACGTAATCAAATATTTTGAAACTATGAAAACACAAGTTAAAATCCAAAATGAACTTATAATATTTGTAATTTATACACCTATTATTGACCCAAGACCTTTTCTTTTGTATAAATTATATCCTATCCCAATCCAAAACCTAACGGTTAGAATTAAGTTCCCTTACTTGATACTTACTACGGACTCATATTATAATATCCAATGGGAATGCCCAAGAGTCGAAAACATATACTTGTGTAACGAAGAAATGCTTAAACAAGAAGAACCATGCGTCTACAGTCTAATTACTGACGGACAACAGAAGTGCTCATTCGTATAAATACATTACGAAGAACCAACAACTAAACAACTCGCAAATGGTCAACTATTGATCATACCCAAAAAGAGTCAAACCATTGTTACCAAATGTGATAAAATTAGTCACATGGACATATTGATGAAACCAACTCTAATCACTCTCGATACTTGTCGGATAATAATAAACAATCAGACGTTTAAAAAGATAAATGAAAATTTCAACTTTGAGTTGAAAATACCAAAAATGGACATACCAGATCTAGCAGAAAATATTACTACGCTCATGATCAAAGAATTAAACCACGAGACACTTCAAGAAGCCTTTGAAGAAGCAAAGAAGTTAGAAGTTCAACCTTTGAAAGAACTTAACTATTCTTACAATTATACTAATACTTATATAATCATAGGTTTAAGCATTGTAATCATATTTTTAATTTCAGCATACTATTTTTGTAAAAAGAAGAAAACTTCAACAAATGTGCAAATCGAATTGTCAGATTTGGGTCATCAATCAAAACAACCCGAATTTGCAACATCTTAAGGTGGGAGGAGTTATATTGAACGATTCCCATATCAACTAATGTTAATTAGTTAATCAATCTATTGCTTTAAAGGAGCATACTAATTGCTCGCCCACGATGACATCATAATTGTTGACGTTTTTAGTGAATATTGCTAGCTTGCATTTATTGTTTATAAAAAGCGGTGCAGCCATGCACAATTGTTCTTTTGCTTTCATGCTTTGCAGCAGCAACTAGTTCCACCAGTCTTCATATGTTACTTTACTTTTACTTTTAATTAAAATAAAGTTTTTAAAAAAGTAAAGTTTCTTATTTGAAACTTAATTGGCTAATAATCAAAGCTTAATTTATTAATTTTTGTTTCACTGATATGAATATCAGTATATCCAACAGTCACGTGGTTTTTAACTAATAAGAGCCCCATCTAAACCGTATAAAATAGTTTACGAGTCTCACAATTAATTCTAAAAGTTGTCACGTGGTTTTCAAACCACGTGAATTCTGAAACGTGGATTCTGAAATTGAGACAGTTTCACAGGAAGTTGAAGCAGTACAGAAAGTTGAAGCAGTGCTATAATGAACTAAAATTACAGGAAACTGTAATAAAATCGATAGTTGGTCAAGTGTCAAAGTCGTATCTGAATTCATAAGACGGTTTTTACAGGAAGTTGAAGGATCGCCATTTAAAACGAGAATCACAGGAAATTGCAGTAAAATCGATATAACGTTGCCAAATCGATAAAAAGTGAATTTTATTTGAAATTGAGGCAATTGTACAGGTTGTTTATTCTTGAAACAAGGGAGCAGCGTTGAGCGTTCCCAGGAGAACGAGTGTTTCGTCTTTCTCAATGATATGCAAATGATAATATAAGCAACAAAGACGGAACACTCGTTTTCCTGAAAGCTTACTACTCTCCTGTTTCAAGAAAAAGGACCCAAGAAGCTGAACTAGTGCCATATTAAATTATTACAACAAACTACACAGTGTTGCCAAATCCATACAAAAAGACTCATAACCATCTCAATAGAATTTTTTATTTCCCCTTAAGGCATATTATATTTAGATAAATATGTCTCATTATAATACATAATTCTTTATTATTACCTACACATTTGTTAATGCCATTTCTATACAAAATAAAAATTATTTGAAAAATTTATCAAACAAATCACTCCTACTACTGGGATTATTTGAATTGTTTTTTTTATTTCCAAACAAGTATTTCTCATCTTCAGTCATATTAATCATATTTTCGTGCACCTCTTCCTTGCCATCTCTGTCTCGCTTCTTAATAATTGTATACTCTTTTTCGCCTTGTTTTTTGGTTACAGTCGTTTCCTGGTTGCCTTCGCTGTCAGTTACAGTTTTTTGAGTTTCAAACGAACCATCAGGATTTCTTATTGTTTTAACCGACACTGATTGGTTGAAAAATCTATCGGGGATTATTTTTTGCAGAGGTGCAGGTTTTTGGGGGTTTTTCAAAAACCGATCCAAATCGTTGACACTTAGTTTGCCGTCAACGTCTTCATCTACTTTTTCGTTTGGGTAATTGGGTTTTAGATAGTAATCTCTGGAATCTGGAGTGTGAGGTTCCAAAGAAGGGAGTTTTGACGTGCCAAATGAAGGCATGCCAAAACTTTTGAGAATCTCTTCCATTTCTCTATCAAAGAAAGTTTCGATTTGTTGCTGGAAGTGATGAGAGAAGGAGTCTTCTTCGAAACTGAAAAATCTATTGCAAAGAATTTAAAATTTTATTTTTATGAACCAACTAAGAAGAACCCTTAATGACGTCATCACTGATGAAAAAGGCAAATTTCCTGTACTCTAAAGCCTTTCCATTTGAAGTGAGACAAAAAATTAGGCAGTATGGCTTCTTTTTAGTTGGTTTTTTTGTATTACCTTGCAAGATTGTCATCAAACGGTTGTGGTGGATAAATAGTTTCAGGCCTTAAATTATTTTAATTAATAAGAAATTAATAATTAAATGACTTAAAATACCTTCTAGATTCTCCTGGATGCGTCTGAGGAGGAAATCCGAATAGTTTTTTGAAGAAATCCATGGTTTTACTTAAATTTTTAATATTTTTCTTACTTTGATGACAAAGTGATGAAATGTTATGAAATGATAATTACAAGCAAATAAATACACCAGACACCAGCTGATTTCTAGTTGCCAAAAAAATTGAGAACGTAACCTTTAATAGAGAGATATCGGTAACCCAAAAAGTGTTATGCAGTATTAGCGCCTACGTTATTTTGACATTAAACCTATGCGCGATTCGATTTTTAACACTACGTACTAAAATAACGTTACCGCATAACGTAATTTACCCAGCATTTACGTTAAGCGCTATTTCGAATAACGCCTAAAAATAACGCCGTGGAATAATATAGGTTATGTTATGTTTATTGTTTATTTTATTTTTGTTGTGTTCAAGTGAATATGGATTGTTCAAAAAATAGTAAAAAAGCAAATCCTCTGTCCCTGACCATAAACAACAGACAACACAAATCAAATAACAACAAGGTACAAGTTAGGCTACGGTTATAAAATAACGTATGCGAACAGGCAAATTTTATGTAAAACTGTTTTCCGATAACTCTAATTTGAAAGTATGATACCGCTTTACTTTAAAAAAATAACCCCTGACGTTATTACCGTCCATACGCGCTATCTGGATTTACCGATATCTCTCTATTATCGATGTTTTTTTGCGTTGGCAACATTGCCTCTACTATGCCTATGTTCCGATATCAACTGTCAGTACTGAATTTACTGGACGCCGTTCCGATATTATTCTCAGTACACTGAATTCACTCGATTCCAGTACTGAATGACCACAAGAGTACGCTCTGTTGAAATCGGAACAGCAAATGACAGTAAAATCAACACAGTTACCAGTGGCGGCTTGTGACTATTTCAAGTGAGGAAACTAAAAGATTTTAAAGATTTTCCGTGATTATGATTTATGAATTTTGAGCCAATTGCGAGGGATTTTTGGGTTTACGGAAAGATTTCGGAGGGATTTCGTGGATTTCGGACGAATTTATGACAAGATTTCATCAAAGTTCTTTGGAATTCCATTAAAATTTTAAGTTATTCCATAAGAATTCCGCGAAAATTTTAAGTAATTCCATAGAAATACCTTAACATTTCATAAGAAGATTTTATGGAATTCTTGGACAAAATTTTTTCGGAATTTCAGTATAGGATTTCATGAAATTCCTCGAAATTCCACTAAGATTTCAATTTCAAAATTCCTTTTTTTTTTTTAACTTTACTAAAATTCCTCAAAATTTTACCACTGAAAGATCTTGGAATTTCACAAAATTTTCATAAAATTCTTCGGAATTTCATTGACATTTCATGTAATTTCTCTCTCGGAATTCACTAAAATTTTATGAAAATATCTGCGTTCATAGCCAAAAATTTCTCGAGAGTCCAATGAAACTTCAAGGAATTTTTCAAAATTTAATTTATTTTTATAAGGATTTTTCGGAATTTCATTGAAATTCTCTTTTAATAGCCAGGAATTTCTGGGAATATTAATGAATTTTCAAGTAATTTCCTAAAAATTCACCGAAATATATTGAAATTTCATGTCATTACATGAGAATTTTTCGGAATATCACCGAAATTCTATGTTTTCAGCTGGAAATTCCTCGGCATTGCTAAAATTCAATAAGAATTGAAATGTTGGGAGTTTCGATGTAATTTCATGTAATTGTTTAAAGTTCCTCCATTGTAATTCGATCAGAATTTCACTAAAATTTCAAGTAATTCAAGAGGAATTAAAATTTAATGTGAATTCTATAGAAACTCCGCAAAAATTTCACATCTAATTCCTTTTTCAGAATAACATAATTATTCTACCGAAATTCCTCGGAATTCCACTAAATTATGAAATTCTAACAGATTTTTGGGGATTCCAAAAGATATTTGGGAAATTTAAAGGAAATATTTTTCAGAAATGTCAATGATTGGGTTTAAAATAATCTATAAATCGAGATTTGATAAAAACATATAGCAACGCTGCTTATGATACAACAACCGTCAAAAAATTGAAATATCAAAGTAGGCCTTGGTTTTTTTTGACAGTCGATATAAAATGGCGTCTTTTTGTTTCAAAGATTACGATCCGAAGGGCCAAAGTATTAAAATCAGTTGACAATGAACGGGTTCGTATAACTCCGGCCCTTCGGGCTCGTATAACCTCGGCCCTTTGACCTCATAATTGAGATAACCTCAGCCTTCCAGAATCGAGATTCGATAAAAAACATATGGCAACACTGCTCATAATACAACAAACGTCAAAAAATTGGTCGGTCCCCTGTTTGGCTACTTTCTACGTATTCGCCGAGGCTAAATCTATATGCCCATGTGAGTGTTTTTTTAAATTTTGACAACTGTCAATGTCAAAAAATTTCGCCTTTTCTTTTTTTCAGAAAACAAATGTCAGAAAACGATCCCCAGGCTCCGAAACCCCTAAAATAAGAAGTTTCATCGATATATGTCAAAAATTAACCGCCTGGCAACGCCGAACGTCTTTTTTGACATATGTTAAAAAAAAAATTGGAACTTCCTACGTATTCGCCGAAGCTAAATCTATATGCCCATGTAGGCTTTTTGTTTTTTTAAATTTTGACAGCTGTCAATCTCAAAAAAAAATTCTTTTGTTTTTTCCAAAAAAACAAAGGTTAGAAAACAAGTCGTTCTTTAGTGGGAATTTATGTAACAATATGTAGCAACAGTTGGTACAAAAAAAATCAATTTCCCGTCGGGTTTAGAATTCGAATTTTCGAATTTTCCCGGCTCCTGATTGGTTTGGGGATTTGAATTTTGATTATTCCCGGCTCTTGATTGGTTTTAAAATAACCTATAATCTCGGCCCTTCGAGCTCGAGATTTAAAAAAAAACATCTGGCAACTCTGCTCATGATACAACAAACGTCAAAAAATTGAAATTTCAAAGTAGACCTTGGTTTTTTTGACAATTGATACAAAATGGCGTCTTTTTGTTTCAAAGATTACGGCCCGAGGGGCCGGAGTATTAAAATCAGTTAACAATGAACGGGTTCGTTCGGATAAAACCAGGGATGTTCCAACGTGCGCAATTGTGCATATTATGCACAATCTGATCTCAATATGCACCATATGTACAATCTTCATAAAATATGCACAATTCTCACAATCCAGTCAAAACAAAATTATTTTTCTTCAGTAAACCTTGGCCTTTGACAACCTCGCCTTGCGCCTTGGTTGTGGTTACTGACATCTGTTATTTTGAAAGCTATGCTCTAGACTTGTAACTGACAAAAAAGAAGAATGAAAACTGTAGACGGGATCCCAACCTACAACCTTCCCAACAAGTAACAACTCGGTAAGTCGGTACACACCACTACTACATAACAGGGTAGCCCCTCTCCCACCTCCCGCCTAATAACCAGTGTTGACGTAGACAGTGTGTCGCGTCTCACCTTGACGTAGGGTGTTTGTACCACAGGCTATGATTCTGCTGGCTTTTGCTTTATGCATACTTGGTTTTAGTACATTAATTATCATTCTAATGGCCGCTTGTATCGACCATTTTGAGAGAGGTTTAGAGACAATCAACGTTTAAAGTAATATGTACCATCGTCACCAAAAGTAGCTGGGACGGCAGAATATTAGCTCTTGTACTATTATATGACGTTTAGTGTCAAATATTTGTCAAACTATGAATAAAATGAATGATGGTAAAAATAGTCCAGGAGATCATTATGAATTATTTTTGTCTCAGATACTTTTGGTGACGATGGTACAATGAAAAAATGTCGCTTTAGGCGTTGATTACCCTTAAGAAGATGGTCAGTGCAAACGGCCATTGAACAATGCTTTCTCAGATCTCGATCGCACCTTCCTCTTTGCTTTGCCTATTATATTAATCAAAATGAAATAATATTTTTCATCATAAATATATATTCTAAACTATGACTGCTGGCGCAAACAGCTGATGATATGGTTGATGACGTCGGCAATGGTGCTACACACTCATTAGGCAATTCAATCCATCTGTCAAAATGGAAAATTTGATATGACGTGGCGGCCAAGCAAGTTTGTTTTGATTTTGTTTTCATGCGTATTTTAAATTATTTTGCTTAAAGTTTTGTTTGCAAGTTTGATTTTGATTATTTAATAAGAAATTTGTTGACTAGGTACCTGAACTATTAAATCGGGCAGAAATTAGATATTTTTTTGTGTTTTTTGGCTCATGTATGGCCGCCAGGCCATCTTGATTGTCACGTGGTTTGAATTGCCTAATGGTCGCGATTTCCAAAAACGAGACCGATAAGCCAATCCTGTGGAATAGTGTGTATTATCCTTGGTGACAACTGTCAATTTAGAGAAACAAAATGGCGGCGGGTGCGTGGCTCACTTCTATTTCGATGTTCATTATGAGCCTCATAATGCCGGCTTACTTCCATTGTCATCACTTGTTGGTAAAAAGGTTTATCGCGAGTCAGTGATTTTTATTTTATTTCGTCGCCATCTATACATCTCATAAGTATATAAATTTTTCGACGACTTGTAGAGGACGTTCTACCCCTGCTTTTTATAAAAGCCAAGAGATGGCGCTATTAATTACATCATTCTACAGTGACTCTATTACCCACAGTGGCGACAATTGCTGTCTTATTTTTGATTGGTTCTAAAATCTCATACATTTATATTGAAAACGCGGCAATCTTGTTCCCACCTATTGCTTATTTCAAATATTAATATATGGGATTTGGGTGAACATCCATCATAAAACATGAAAAACAACGTATTTGATGGACCTAATAATAGTCATCAAATACGTCGATTTCAATTTTTTAAGATAGATGTCCATTTGAATCCTATTATTAATATTTAAAAGTAACAAGAGGTTGGGAACAAGATGGCGGCGAGACCTCTATTGTCGCCACTGTATGTAAAGGTTTATTTAGCCACTATTATTGGTTGTATGCAGACTCGAAAATTTTCCTGGAGCAACCCTGGATAAAACTTTTGTCGCACAACACTTTGACAATATCGCCAAATGTCGCCAAATTTGACACATGTTCGACTTTTTCCCCGCTCTACTATAAAAGCTACGAAAATCAAACCCCGGTACAAGGCAATTTCACGACGCAGATTAAGATTTGTGTCAAAAAAAATTGACAGCTGTCACTTACCCCGTTAAAACACTGGAAATTTTTGGTGGAATATGAAGAAAACTCAAAGCCTCAAATGTACTTTAAATCAGTTTTCCCGACTGAAAAAGCCCCGGAAAAGTGAAAATTCAAAGAAAAACTGAATAAAAATGTAAACACGTTAATTGAAAATGGCCGACTGTCAAAAATGCTTCCTAGATTGAAATTAACCACAAACGATGTTGCCACATCAAAAGTATTTTAAATTATAGCATTTAAAACTAGAAATTTTTACTAAAAAATGAAGAAAACTCAAAACCTTGTATGTTAAATCGCTTTTTCCCAATAAAAAACTCCGGAAAAGTTGAAAATTCGAGAAAAAAACTGGCAAAAAATCACAAGTCGTCACTTCAAAATGGCCAACTAAAAGCAACGACGTTGCCACATCTCATCTCGGAAAACAAAAATAACATTTTAAAAGGGTTTTTTGTTTAAAATTCAATTTAATAATTAATTAATAATGATTATAATAATTAAAATTCCCCAAATAAATCATAGGAAACTTGTTTTTAATTTAATTTCAATGAAAATGACATTACAAGGTTTCCTTATTGATTCTAGTGAGTAAGACAAAGACAACGATAAAATAGTATATGTTTGCAAAAGCCACCGTTTTCTGAAAAAAGTTAAAATCTTAAGAAAACCCCATGAAAATCAACATTCCAAAGTCAATTTGATAAAACTAAAGTTTTTGAATATTCCCGACTCTTTGATCGGACGCTAAAAATCGCATTTTAAATACGCCCGGTTTTTAATTGGCTCTAAATTATCCGCTGACCAATAGAATTATAGACTGAGCTCCGTGATTAAAATAACTCTAGCCCTTCGGGCTCGCCTATAACTCCGGCCCTTCGGGCTCGCCTATAACTCCGGCCCTTCGGGCCGGTATTACTGACTATCCCAGATTCACAGATTTTTGTCGTGGAGGCGCGGGATTGATTGAAATAATGTTGTCAGATTTTTCTAAATTACATTGAAATATCGAAAATTGGAATTCTGTTGTGTAATTTGTGAATTATTATTTCAATTAGAAATCAGGAATAAAAAATTGAGATTGAATTTTCAATTTTTTGGGGGAGGTTTAGCCTCCCCTGCCTCCTCTGACGAGACGCCACTGACAGTAAATCCAGTACTGGCAGCTGATATCGGAACATGGCCACTGTCGGCTGGATGACATGGGGCGCTCTCTTTTATTCAGCAATGGATCCATCGGTGACCAGTCTATCTTTGTCTAGTTCAAAGAAAATCGGAATGGCTGTCTCATAATGCTGGCAGCAAATTGATCCATTGCTGAATAAAAAAATGCACCCATGCTGATGAGAATTCAAGTTGGCAACAATGCAACAAAAATGGAAATAAAAAAGACGCCATTTTTTTTTTTTCAAAACAACTTTATTGTCAAATCGAATCGATTTTCCAAGCATTTTTAAGTTCTTCGTTTGCAGTTGCATCGTATTTCAAAATCAAAGCCGCTTCGTGCAGTAAGGCTTGAATTTCCTGAAACAAAAAATGTTGCAACAGCGTAACAATTAGCCATTAGTTATTACTCACCGTAATTTGCTTGTTGTCTCTATTGTAAAATTCTCGTTTGCAACAAAAGAGCTCGTAGAGTAACAAACCGCGCATTTTACTCTGACCGCAACGCAGTTTTTCCAAAAGTTGCAGTAGATCTTCGCAAATGGTTTTTTTTATTTGCAACAATTCGGTTGGCAGGTCTGGAACAGAAAAAATTGGTACCAATGTCTTAATGAGAACACTATGAAAGTAGTAGGTCATGTAAAAACTGACTTTCAGTTGGCGACACTGAAGCCAAATATTTACAATTGGCAACACTGCAATTTGATAAGCTACAAAATCCTAGTAGGTGTGTGTTTTGGTTTCACTCAGAACTAGTTCGGAGTCATTCTGCACATGCGCATGTCATAAAACGTGTTTTGGTTTTTTCAGAATCATAATCGAACTGTGTTGACAGTGCTTTGGTTTAGAAGCATATAGTTCATACAATATAAACTTTCAATAACACCATCGATGACGTCATTTTTGAAATCGTTATCCTCAATCATGAAAATATTCAGCGTCAAACTGACTTAATTAGAATTTGAAAGGATTCAGTTGGTAACACCACTCTAAAAACTGTAACGTTGGCAAATAAATTTTATGACATTTTGAATTTTGATTGCGTTTTGACAGTTTATGAGTTTTTTGGTTTTGAGTCCACCTCAATGGTTTTAGTGTTATTTGGACTTGTTTTCTCAAAAACAGACGGCAACGCTGTGTTGGCCGAGCGACCAGAAAATTAAACCAAATTTTCGCAACGAACTACTTCCATGATTTCATGAACACAAACGCTTTGGCGAGAAACTCATGACGTCATTTTGGAAGTAGTTCGACGGAAGCATGGACGTAGCTTCTAGCCAGCATTCAAACTCATGACATCCAATATATAAGTTATAGGACTCAGGGTTAAAGATTGATCAATTTTTGATGACATAGGTACAAAAATTTTAGAGTTAGAACATGTTGTCCAACATTGACTTCAGTTTAGGTCATTGCTTATGAATAACAAAATTTACATTCCTAAAATATGGATGAACTAACATTCGTCGCGAAAATTCGGTTTTAGTTAGTATGAACTATAGATTAAGGTTTGTTCGGACTTAGTTCAGAATCAGTTCTAAATTAAATTGCGCTTGCGCATTTATTTATAATATGTTTGATATGAACAGATGCACAAGCGCAATACAATTCAGAACTCATTCTGAACTAAGTCCGAACAAACCTAATCAAGAATAATTCTGGGATTGTTCCAGAACCGTTCTCTCAGTTCTTGTTCTGAAAAAGGAACTGTTTTGGAATTTTGTGATTTCTGGCTTGTTTTGGATTTTTTTGATTCCGAATCAGTTTAGAATTAGTATTCAGACTAATCTTCCATTATTTTTTGTTCGCAAGCAGTTCTGAGCAAAAGGAGAATGGTTTTCTTGGAAGCTGATAATTTATCTGTCAGTGGTGAGTGAAAGTCTATTATATACGGAGTATATATTAACAATCAGAGCAGTGCAAACAGAACAGAGTTAGTGCAAATGGAACAGAAATTAAACCAATTGGAGCACTTAAAGTAACTCGAACAATAGAAGAAATTCGAATAGAATAGTTCATTGATTTTGAGTTCCGAGTTTATCGATTGTTGTTCCGAATTAGAAAAAATTATGTACTAAAGTATTATTAGACGCATACGGTGCAAGAATACCCTAAATTAGTGCCCTGGATCGCATTAACAATTCATTTAGAAGCAGTTCCAGATCATTTTAGAATTGATTTTTAGAGTTCCGACTGCTTCAATTGCTGTTCCGGAATCGAAATAAACTAATCTGAACTGTACTGGAGCGCATTGATTATTCGTAATTCAATTTTTTGTGGCCACCAGACTACTCCGTATTTACTCTAACTGTTCGATTATTCATTTTTTAGCGTAAACACACTTGCTAGTGCAAATAATCTCACTCTATTTACTCCGAAAACAATTATTGGAGTCAAATAAAGTTAAATTGAGGGCCTTCCAGAGTACTCCGTATTCACTTTAACTGTTCAATTTTATTTATTTTTCTCGGAGTAGAGCAATAAGAACCCACTCTGAAACTTTTGGAGTTACTCCTCTTACTCTTTTCTTGTTTCCCGAGTGAAAATAATCTTACTGCATTTACTCTAAAAAGAGTATAAAAGAATCAAAAAGAATACAATTTCGATAGACTTAGGCCATCTAGGGTACTCTGTTTTACTCCTTTTATTATTTTCTTGTTATTCGAGTGTAAATAATCTTACTCCACTCACTACGAATACAATATGCGAAACAGTGGATTATAGAATAGTTTAAAAGAGTGCAATTTTGGGTACTCTAAGAACTCCGTAGGTACTCCAACTATCAAATTTGTTTTAATTCGCATGCCATGGCACTCTGACTATTCAAATATGGCTCTTTAGGGTAAATAATATAGTAATTAGGTGTATGTTCATTTATACGGAGTGGAGTAAATACATTTTACACCGGAACGATTTTAGAGTGAAAAGTGACAAAAAAGTTGAAATGAATTTGAGAAATGGAACTTTTTGAATCTACTCCTTTTACGTCGAATGCAAATAGTCCGTTCACTACAAAATTGTACCCGAACTAATAAGGTAGCTACCCTAACTGTTCGAAAATGGCTTTTTAGTGTAAATAGAGTAATCAAAGTAACTAAAACACATTTGCAGGTGCATATAATTTTACTCTATTTACAACAATTAGTAAAGGTAAGGGTAAAATAGAGTTTAATTGAAAGCCTTCCAGAGTATTCCGGATTTACTCTAACTGTTCGATTATTTTATTTTAGCGTAATTATAAGGAGTAGAGCGAAAAGAACTCACTTCAAAGCTTTCACCACGTGGTCTCAAGCTTTTGGAGTCTACTCCTTTTACTCTTTAGAGTAACTAAATGCATTTTCGTTAGAATAGTTCATTCAGATCATTTCTGAATTGTGGTTTTCAGAACTCCGAGTCTATCGATTGTTGTTCCGAACTAAAAAAAATTATGAACTAAAATATTATTAGACGCATACGGTGTCCTGGATCGCATTAACAATTCATTTAGAACCAGTTCCAGATCATTTTAGAAATGATTTTTAGAGTTCCGACTGCTTCCGTTGCTGTTCCGGAATCGAAATAAACTAATCTGAACTGTACTGGAGCACGTTGATTGTTCGTAGTTCAATTAGAACCAGTTCTGGATAGATTTTAAAGTCTTGAACTGGTTCACAATGGAGGAATCTTTAATTTGTGTTCCAAATCATTGACTTTACTGTTCTTTGTTCGCGGTACAAATAGAGTCAATTCCAAATCGGTTCTGTTTGTTCTAAACCTGTTCCGAACTCGTTTGCTGTCGGATAAAATTTGAATTAGTCTACTTACAATCGAGTAATCTTAGTGTTCCTGATAGATTCTGAAATGTTTGTAAATTGATGAAATAGAGCCTGTAGAGTCTACTCTTTTTACTCTTCAATATTCGAACGTACATAAACTTACTCTATTTACTCCAAAGGAGTAAAAAAAAAACAATCTTTGAACGATTTACTTACTCAGAGCAGTTCAAATATGGCCAATAGAGTAATTACGTTTATTGTTTGACAATAAGGAGTGAAATAAATACAACTTTCTAATGAATAAACCTACTCGTTTTACTCTAAAATAGTAGTACGAGTAAACATGGTCAAATTTAGTGCACTGAAACGAGAATCTTTGGCCGAATAAAGTAACTGTTAACGTAGCTCGATTTATTTCGAATGTAAAGAAACCTACACTGGGTCCAAAATATGTGTTCCAGAGATAACAATAAATAGACTTCAGTTGGAACGTTTAGAGTAATTTAAATTGAGTTAGTGCAAATGGAACAGAATTAAAACAGTCAAAACAGTTCCAATAGTTGAACAAATAAAAAAAAGTCAGTGCACTTGGAACAGTTACTAAAAGCCCAAAATCAATATCACCGACTGGTCAATTGCTTAAAATTGATTCTAGTGAGCCAAGGATGTTACTACAGGATGGCCTATCCTCATAAGGCCTCCCTCAACCGCCAAATCACCAGTTGTGACGTAGGCAGGATGTTATTTCTCCCTTTGGAGGGCTGTTTAAATAGCTGAGGAATTAGTTATGACGTCGGAAAAGGTGACACAGCAATATGGCGGCCATTACCAAAAACGAGGCCGATAAGCAATTCTCAGTAGTGTGTATCATCCTTGACTTCAAACATTTTTGACTCCGAAATTTTATAGTTAGCAACACTGAAAGTTTGTCTGGTAATGAGTAACTTGATGACGCACCTGAGATGCATTATATTGAAGCCCCACAGATGACGACATCAAGTTTTCAGGCAACCTACCTCTCTCAAATAACATTGCTCTTACCGTTCCATTTGTACCCGTTTCTGTGCCCCAAAATCCACACAATTTTAAATTTCAACTCGACAGCCACCTGATTATCATCGGGCACGACGTCTTTCAACTTCCCATTGAGAAATTTCAACATAAATGGAAAATCGTCTGAAGCCATGTTTTTCAAAATGGAACCTACAAATATGTCAATCAAAAAAGAAAATTCTAGAATAAAAATTCTAACCTAACAAAGTCATAAGTTCTCCGGTATCTTTGCCGGTGATGACGTTTTGACAATCGCGACAGCGCCACCTGGCGGCGGCTTTGAACGGATTCAAAGGGCTCACGATGCCTCGGCACAATTTACACAAAACGGAACCCATAAAGGTACCAAACTCCGTAGGATCTTTGCACCTAGGACATTTGCAAACAAAATGTTTGGTAATGTGCAAGTGGTACAATCGAGCAGCGGTACCCCAAGTGAGTCTCGTGTAGGACTGGAAAATTTCCGAATGTTTTTCGATGAATTTTGAGGCAGTTGCTATCATGCGTTGGTCATTGTCGAACACGTGGGTGGTGTTCGGTACGCATGAATGGTTCGCAAGGCTACCCAACGGATAAAGACCTGAAAAGTCATACTTGTCACATGTCAAAAGTCGAGTTCGCATATATAGATTACCTCTTACGCTAGTTTGTGACTCATTTGTGCCAACAGTAACTTCAAAAGCATTGGCGTCCATAGCGCAACAAACAAACCTCATGAATTTTTCGTCGTTTTTTTCAAACTGAAGCCCGATGGTTTTTAAGCTGTCAATTTCATGACCATGTCTGTCTCTGTCGTGCGCAATAAGACACCTAATGACGTCTTTGTCTTTTTCGCTCAAAAACAAGCTGGTGATTGGCGTGTAGTTTTCGTAAAGGGTTTTTCGAAAATCCTCAGTCAGAGCGACACTTTTCGGCAAACACTTGCGAATGAATTCGCATTGGTTCTGGTGCCCCGTACTCGGACAGTTGAGGCACAAATCCAACCCGCAACCATTTTTGCATTGTTTTAAAGGTGTTTTACTACAAAATAAGTCCAATAAATCCAAAATAAAATATACTATATGGAATTACCTTAAGCAACTTGCACAAATTCTAGAACAATCTGGCAAACAACGAGGTCCGATTATGACTGGAGAATCTCTAAAAATCACTTCGCCTGGTTGTAAGTCCCGAGTGGCGAACACCCCTAGTCCACCCACCAGAGATTCCTGTATTACCCACCCTGGATTTTTATCCAGCAAATCGCGACTATCCAAATATTGGTTTATAGCGGTGTTTAAGCGGTTTGCGGTGCGTTGGTTCATAGTTCTGGATTGGGTTTGGCTCGTTAGCCGGAATTTTATTGTAAAATTGCATTAGTGTAGACTGTAGACAGTGGCGCACTTTAACTGACTAGTACGATGTAAAAATAAAATTGCCATGATACGCCTATGGTTTATTTTTAAATTGTTGCAAATGTCAGCGTCGGAGGTTAATCAAAATTTTCTGGATAGTTTGAGAAGTTTTTTGGCAATCGTGGCAGATTTTGTGCTATATAAATAAACTGAAAGTGAGTCATTTTTATAGACAAAAATTTGCGTCAAATACGAGACCTTCGCCATTGTGTCAAAACTGAGACATACGCCATTGTATCAACATAAGAACTTCTTTCGTCATTGTGTCATTTCCTGCTTGGAGTGCGCTTAGAAATGGAATGTGAAGTCACAGTTTCACTATTACAGGATTGTTAATTTGCCTCAGTTTTTGGAAACAAGGTCATATGGTGATGAATCGTTGCTGACGTCATCAACGCTTCGTCAGCTGTTCGCACCAGCGGTCGTAGTTTAGAATATTCATTTATGATGAAAAATATTAGGTATTTAATTTTGATTAACATATAATAGGCAAATATGCAAACTAGATCTAAAAAATTAATGTACTAAAACCAAACATGCATAAAGCAAAAGCCAGTGGAATCATAGCCTGTGGTGCAAGCACCCTAAGTCAAGGCAAAAAACGACACGTTGTCTACGTCATCAATGGTACTTTGGCGTGGCGGAGGGCTTGAAATTTGAACTACACAAGCCTGACAGGCCTTATGAGTATAAGCTATTCTGTGTAGTGTTTTAATATCCTTGCACTATTCGTAGGAATTTGTCGAAACTCGAAATACAGAAAATCCATGAGCCTGGAATAGAAAAAACATGAATGTCTTCTTATCTAGCATTTTCTTCTCAATTTCTCTTGAATTTCTTTTCTCTATTTCTCACTTTTTCTCTATTCCCGGCTCTTGAATTTTCGTTTTCTTCTAAATTTCTAAATCTCTTACAGAAAAAAACTCAATTTCAAAAAAAAAAACCTTTATTGAAACCTACACATATCAGCTATTCCGGTACCAAATGAAGAGTGAACTAAAAATCTCTTTCGGCCGCACAACAGTAAAGCAAATGAGGCCGAAGTAATTCGATTTTCCCTCGCCCATTAAATTCTATTTTAAAGTCTCAATCGGGCATTTTCGCAGCGGGAAAACTAGGAAAACTCTCCTGAATTTCCCGCATTGAGTTTGCGCAAGAAAACATTGAAAATCAGCTGGTGGTTTTCCTTTGATAATTGATGTTTAGATAAAGGGAAAACCAACGTAAACTTTCCCGATTTTTAGCTTTTTGCAGCTAAACTGTTTCAAAAAACAACAAATTTGAATTTGTTTTAATGACGTGTTTTTGATCTTTGATAGGAAATCAGCAATCGCGCAAGATCACGGTGAAAAAAAAGATAATCTTTTCGTCAATCAATTTGTCAGGAATCAAAAGAAGAGTGCACAGAAATTATTAAAAAGTGGTGTTTTTTTGGAAAATAATTCAATAAATATGATAGAAAATACTCGATCTTTGAATGACCGTATCACGTAAAAGGAGTAAGTAATTTTCTATGATTATTTTTGTTAATTTGTTATGTAAAACTCAATTTTCAAATCTATCTAAAACCTTATCGATTTATGGAATGTTTCGGGTAAATATTTGATGGCCTACTTCAAATATTACTTCAATTGTCAATTTTCCTTTTAAATTTTGCGTGGCCTATTGAGACCTGAAAATTTACAATGTGTGCTTAAGACAACACGACAAAAGTGGAAACTTCAAAAATAGTCAAAAATCCATAAAACGATTAGGCAATTCGAACCCATAAGTATGATATACACCTACAGGATTGCTTATCGGCCTAGTTTTTGATAATCACCGGCATATTGGTGTGTTACCACTTCCGACGTCATAATTGAGTCGTCAGCTGCTTAAACAGCCTACGTCAAGGCGAAAAATAACATACTGCTTACGTCACGACGTGATTTTCTGGTGGGGGGAGAAGGGGATTTGTTCCACACAGGCCTTATAAGGATAGGATATCCTGTAGTAGTAGTGGGTATTTTCCTTGACTCGAACCAGAGCTGATAATTCAAGATGGCGACTTGGTCGAAACCTTGTCGAAACAAACTTGAGAAGCGTAAAGGTACGTTTTCATTCAAATTACAATCAATTGAAGTTAAATATAAAGCTACCATGACGCAAGGATAATACACACTAGGTACTACTACAGGATAGTAATCCTCATAAGGCCTTTGTAGTCCAAATGTCAAGCCTTTACCCCGCCAAAGTGCCAGTGATGACGAAAGCAGCGTATCGTTTTTCACCATAACGTAGGGTGTTTGCATCACAGGTTATGATTCTGCGGGCTTTTGCTTTTTGCATACTCGGTTTTCCATGACAAGACTTGTCATTTTTCGCTATCTTGGTATTCAGTCTTTTCTGTACAAGGGATTTTTTGTCAAATATAATAATTCCTGTCATTGCTTTACGGTGTAGCTGGTAAGCCCGTTTCACAATAGGAAAAATCGGGCGTACGTATTATCCTTAGAACATCGGATTGTGAATAGGAGACGAATATTCCAAACTACGACAGCTAACGACGTATAGTTGATGACGTCGTTAATGATGCTACACAATATAGTCGCAATTTCCAAAAAAAGGGATCGATAAGCAATTCTGTGTAGTAGTATATATGTATTATTATTGGTATAAATAAATAAACTTCATTGTGTTCGACAATTGCCGCCATATTGAATCTGGGAATTTGTAATTTGGATCAAGGTTAGGTTGTCTGATAACTTTCACGACGTCATCTGTATGCCTGAACATAATGCAAATTTCCATAAGAACCACCTGATGACGTCATCTGTCTTTCATTACCAGACAACCTATTACAAGCAATTAACATAATACCGGCAACGTCGTCAAAATTTGTTCTAAGGGGAGTTTCGATTGAATCCCAATCGCACTATTTCTCTCTCTCACTTTGTCACACTTTTGATTACCGTTCTATAATTCTATTGGTCGACGGATAACTGACCGTCTCAAGCAAGGCTGTTTAAGAGAGGTAGGTTGCTTAATAACTTTATGACGTCACCTGAAGTGCCTTAATATAATGCAAATGCAAAAAAATAAAAAAATTTCTAGTGAACGACTAAAGCCTGTTCTGGAATACGAGATTGTTTTCATACATTTCAACAACGAAGCTGTGTTGTCATAATATTTGAAAAACCAAGTCCAATGGAGTTTTGACATTTAGGGGTTTAATGGCCGTCTCCACCAACTAATTTAGACATTTCTCCATGGAAGACTGTCATTTTTAGAAATACTTATCGTTAAAGCTCCCCTAAAATAGTTTGTGGAACGGCCATTAGTAATGTTGTTGGGACACTGAATTATTTACAAAATATAGAGGGACTTTAATTTTAAAAAAATTAATTGAAATATGACATCTTGGCAACATTGCAAATACAAAAATTGAATCAGGCATTCCCAAAAACCTTCTGGACCGACAACCCTGTATACCTTATCGAGTTTCAACAATGTTGCCAACTGTGAATTTTTTTTACCAAAACATTTGACGGTTGAATAGCTAACTAAAAAAAAAAAAAAATGTTGTAGATTCCCGGTATCAAGATAATTGACATGTCAAGTGTTGCTAACTGGGATTAAGGGTGGGTATTATAAAACTGCTTTGACAGATAACTTGAAGTTAACTTTTTGAATTACATGTAATTCTAGAAGTTAACTTTAAGTTAACTCTCAGAGTAGTTTTATAATACCCGCCCTTAATTAAATTTTACAAGGCCTACTAAGATATGATAACTTTTTAAATTTCGGTGTTGCCAATTGTAAATTTTCTATTCAAATTTTACATGGCCTACTAATACATAATAGTTTGTTAAATTTCGGTGTTGCCAATTGTAATTTTTCTATTTAAATTTTACATAGCTTATTGAGATATAGGAAAGTTACAGAATGTGTTTGAAACCACACGACAAAAGTAAAAAACTTCAAAAATCCATAAAACGATTAAACGATTAAACAATTTGAACCAGTTGATAATTCAAGATGGTGACGTGGGCATAACAAACTTGAGAACCGTAAAGATACGATAATCAATGAACTTTATACTACATGTAACTAGAACGTACTTAACAGCTGCTTTCAATGTTCATTTTTGAGGCAAATTTTATGGTAGTGAGAGCGACAATAAAAGGGACTGTTTGCTTTGTTGCACACGTACATGTTTACGAGCAATGGTAGGGTATAATAAATCCACCTAGCCTTGTCTAAGAATGCGTGAGACAAAGACGGCCACCCCTTTTACTCTATTAAAAATTTGCCTCAGGCGTGATAAATGCTGGTGGAATTCTATTTACGTAGTATACATTTCACTACATTCAATTCCCATTAGGAATTCGATGTAAAGCTGCCTTTACGGTTATCAAGTTTGTCATGCCCACGGGCACCACGGCGCCATATTGAATAAATAAACGTCAAATCGACCTAAAATCGTAGGTTGAACAAACAATAACATCACAAATTCTTGACAATTGCCGCCATATTGAATCCTGGTATTTGTGATTTGGATCAAGATTGTTTGAAAGAGACAAGTTGTCTGATAACTTCTATGACGTCATCTGTATGTCTCAATATAATGCAAACTATAAGAGCCACTTGATGACGTAATTAGTTGGCCATTACCACACAACCCATTAAAAGTAAAGTGATCAAGGTTTCTAAAGTTCATAGGTTGTCTGGTGATGACATTTTGCCAATGCTATCAGTCGCGTCGCCGAAATTTGTTTTAGGGCGAGTCTTGATTGAATCCCAATTCCGCTATCTCTCTCATTCGCATTGCTGACTGTTTTTCTATCTTTCGTTTCATTGAAGTTTTCACTTCAAAAGTTATGAAATGTATACAGGGTTTTCGTTATGTATGGAAACGGTCTAATATTTTAGAAC